AATTACACAGTAAAAGAAATTTATTTTATTTTTTGATTTATTTTTGGAGTAGTTTTCGTTAAGGCAAAAATCACGTGCTCACATCTGTGATAAAGGAAGTTTTTTCCTCATCTAAATGATCCATCTTTATCTGATTATATCCTAAATAGGCATCTAAAAAACTCAACAACTCATGTCCTGCAGTAGAATCAATTAGTTGATCTATATACGATAAAGGAAATGAGTCTTTAGGACAAGCTTTATTTAAGTCAGTATAATCTACACAAACTCGCAATTTCTCATTATTTTTTGGTACTACTACAATATTAGCTAGCCAGTTAGGATATTTTACCTCTCGTTTGGACCCAATTTTTAAAAGATTTTATACCTCATCCTGAATAAACTGATTTTTGAAGAATCCTTGCTTCCTTTTCTTCTATTTGACAGGCGGATATGATGAATATTTATTTAGCTTGTGAGTCACCACCTTCGGTGGTATACCTGTCATATCTAAATGTGACTAAGCAAAGGAATCTGCGTTAGCTTGTAAAAATTTGACAAGTTTACCTTTCATTTCTGAGCTTAGCTTCATTCTAATATAAACTTTTTTATTAGGCCACTGCTCAGAAAGCGTGATAGCCTTGAGTTCTTCTATTATTGTTTTGATGTTTTCATTCTCTTCTGGCTCTTGAATGAAATCAGGCCTTGAATCTATGTCCGTTTGTCCACCTTCAGTTGAGGTTTGTGCTTATTTGTCCTCAACTAAATTCTGTAATTGCTATTTTTCATTTGCACCATCGTTCACTATGCTTCAATTCTCTACTGAATTGATACTTCTAAAAGCTTGCTGATCTCCATGGATTCTTCTAATCCCCCATTGAGATGATAATTTAATAACTTGATGAGAAGTAGATCGAATAGCATTCATATCATGAATCCAAGGCCTTCCCAGAATCATATTATACGCCATGCCCGTATCTATCACTTGGAATTTCGTATCTTTGACAACTTCTTCTGCAAATGTGGTAAGCACTATTTTCCCTTTTGTAACAGTGCTTTAAAATTCAAATCCAGATAAGGTACGTGCTTTGGGCACCATTTTGTCATCAGGTTGCATCTCGTTTACCACTCTTAAAAGAATGATATTTACAGAGCTACCTGGATCAATGAAAACTCATTTCACATTAGTATCATGTACAAGTAAAGATATTACCAGTGCATCATTGTGAGGGATCATCACGCCATCTGCATCATCAAACGTTATACTCTTCTTCTAAAACTTGGCGTACTCGCTTTCCGTGGGTAACCGTGAGTTTTGATGTCTTTTTTGCTGTCGTATATGTCACACCATTGACCTCCTCACCTCCGCTTATCATATTAACCGTCCTTTTTGGTGATGGAGATGAAGAGGCTTTTGTCTATTCTTTATATACGTTTGCTTACCCTTTTCGCTGAACAAGTCAGTTAAATAACCTTGTATTAACAAATGCTATATTTCACTTTGCAGCAATCTACAATTTGTTATTTTATGACCGTGGTCGTTATGAAATTCACACGAGAAATACGGATTTATCCTTCTAGGGTTCGATCTTATTTCTTTTGGCCACCACACTTTATCTCCCATATTCCTTAAAACAGCAACCAACTCAGAAGTGCTAATATTGAAGCTATAATCACCAATCTTTGCCTTTGTATTAACATTGTTGTCCCGCGCATCTCGCTCTTTCCCGAACTTGGTTGATGAACCCGGGTCTCTGTCTCTTGATCTAGAACCATACCTTAGATTTTCTTGTTTAGAGCGTGAATCCCATCCTGCTGGTCCCATGTAAGGTTTGTACCTGTTCTTACCAGACCTTTTTTTTCAGTTTCTGATCGCCTCGAACTTGTTCTTTCATCACCCCGTGATCGAGTGATAGTGTCTTCTTCTATTAGGTACTGAGCGAATTTGTTCCTTGAGTCTCCTCGTGGCTTCTGAGATTTTTTCTTTTAAGTTACTTGCAAATGTCATGACTGCCCAATTATCAGGTACCCGCGGTAACATCATTCTTTCACACTGAAATCTATCCACAAATTCCCTGAGTAGCTCTGTATCTCCTTGTTTTATTTTGAAGATACCTTCCATCCTCTTCTCAACTTTTTGAGCTCCCGAATATGCTTTTATAAATGAATCTACAAGCTCAACAAAAGAATCAATAGAATTTTCTAGTAAAAGAGAATACAATGTTAGTCTCCTTTCGTGAGTAATTCGCCAAATTATATTACCAACACCGACTCAATGCTTGGTTAAATCATTGCCTTTCACGCTAGTTGTAAACGTAGTTACATGATCTCGTGGGTCAATTGTTCCATCATACTTTGGGATATCGGACATTTTAAACTTCTTTGGAATTAGCAAGGGAGATGCACTTGGCTTCTAAGGCTGTTGTGAATATTTGTCAATATCCACTCCTTTAATTACGGGTGGCACACCAGGTATTTGTTCCATGCGATCGTTCTGCTCCTTGAGCTGCTTCTTCAAAGTTAGTACTAAACTTTGTAAATCAGAATTATTTGGTGTACTTGACCTTCCATCGCGAGATTCGCTGGGAGTTCCTCCGCTTCCCGAATTAGCAAGTTCCGAGCGTGGGTTTTCTGTGGTTACAGTGTTGTTTGGAGGTGGAGCTGGTGGCACAGTTGGCAATCCACTAACAAAAGCTTGAAGAGCATTGTTGACGTATTCTGCAATTAGTTGTTTTAATGCGTCCTCGGCAGTTTGCTCGTCCCCTTGTTGATCATTCATGTGTGATGTTGATCTTTGAGGTGTCCCCTCCCGGGACTATAGAGGAGAATTTTGAGGTGAAGGGATTGGAGTTCCTCCATCCTGTTGGTTCTATTGGTTCAGTTGGTTGTTGTCGTTGGCAGTTGACATGATTGTTTGAAAAGTGAAAAGATTATCAAATTCCCGATAACGGAACCAATTTGTTTAACCAAAAAATATATCTTTTGATCAAAGCCTAAGTTTAGAAGAGAACGGGTTACTGATAACCAAGTTTAGCTTCACTTTCTCAACAGTATCAAAGGAAAATAATAAGAATAACTAAGGAAATAATTGATTGCAAAGTCAAAGCACAGAGTTTCGAAAAAACAGAAAAGTAAAGTGTATATTTCAATATTGCCTCAGATGTGTCCTTACAAATAGTATTTTGTGCCCTTATATAGGAATATACAATAGTAACAGTTTTCCCCCATAATTTGGGCTAATTATGGGCATTAATGATATTGATTGCCCATTATTTTGAATTTTTATAACTGACGCATCTATTGCTATAAATGCCTTATATCTATTCAAATTCCCCTTCTTTATTTCCTTCCGGTCCATGTATCTTCCTTCTAATTGTTATTTATTCATTCCTTGCCTGATACTGTTTCGTGGGTATTTCTTCCCGTGCCTTTTCTTTTTCTATCAAATAAGACTGCCACGTGCTGCTATATTATTGTTCCACGCGTTATGCCATGTCAATAGTCTAATATTTCACGTGTAGCTCTTTTTCACCACCAATACAACATTGATACTGGAGGTGTCATAATTCTACCAAAATCAAGTTTTATGCATTCGGCGCATAGGTATAGTACTTGAGGATATTGGAAGCAAAGAATTCTAAGATAGGAAGTTTGGAGGATTGGGGAGCTCCAGGAGGTTTCAAAGTAGGAAACCGTAAAAGATGCAAGCATCAGATAAATAATGGTATGATTGGTACTATTGGCTTGTCCATCTACTGGGTGGGACTACTCCGACATATTACGCCTCTATTATCCCGCCCTCGAGACTGAACTAAGGCACATCCCTTTTTGCTTAGGGTTTGGTTTGGGTCAGTTTTTGCCGATCAAAATAAAGTACTAGGCCAGGGCTTTGTTTCCTGCGGTTTCCGATATTGCAATGGCAAACAAACAGAAGGTTTCCCTCTTTCGGGTATAGGTTTTCCAATTTATTTACATATTCGAACAAATAGAAATTTTGCGGGGTGCAAATTCTGCAATTGTAGCGTCTATAAGCTTTCTTATAATTTGCATATACTATTTTGGTGTCATCTATTAGGAATAGGGTTATGGTTCTTTTCCATCAACATTTAATTGAATTCAAGGCAAGTATATTTATAAACCAACGTGCATTACAAGAGATATAGTTTTATACAAAATATGCATTGCATGAACCAACGTGCGGACCGTGTGATTTATCAATACAATATTTGATTCATACGGTTTTTTATCATATGTAGTTCAATTTCATTGTTTTTACCTAACTTAAAGAATCAAGAGAAAGAAAAAAAGTTTGATGTCCCACTGATGACCTAATTAAACATAACGGTTATAAGACAAAATCATCAAGCATTATGGACTGTAAGACAGAAGAATGTGGTAAAATATTGGCTGCTCATATATTGAATAGTCATATCCGACTTCAACTTAAAATTGAAAAGAAAGTTTTACAGACAACCTGATATTTAAGAAAATTAGGTAATTCCCACTTTTGACCAGTATCCTCCCTAAAGGGATTCCTAAATGCAAAAATCAGATAATTTAACAGAAGCAATCTCATAGAAAAGGAAAGCTAAAAGAATTCAAGAGAGGTCTTATTATTATTCTCAAACTCAAAAAATGGTATAAAGGGTTTATTAAAATAATTCTAAAAACGTGTTTGAAGGATTAAACTCTCCATAAAACCTAGAGAGTCAAAACATTCAAAGGCTTTTGCTCTTTTTCGTCCTTCTTGTCAAGTGTCAAAGCAAATACTAGTATTTCCCTGAGGTCCAATTTTATTAGTAGAAAAGTAGACAAGACAAGACCCTAAGAAATCAAACATAAGAATGTAAAGTGCACATTTCAAATTTAAACCAGCCCTTATAAATAGCACAGGAGAACAGGTCATATCATGTATATTCAATTTACAAACATAATAACACCAATTACACTAACACCCAAAAAAAACAAATCTTTTTGACAAGAAAAAACACAAAACGTCATTTTAACTTCTTGAAAGGGCCATGCAACGTTCAGCAATATCTTCCTCTTCAGCCAAGAACGTGTGCCATCAAATTCTCCGGCTCCGACGACAAATCGAGCCAGCGAAAAACCGGACACCATGCGACGTGTTCATAAACCACAGAGGAATTGACACAAAAAGAAATGTAGCAGGATTGTTGTATGAGCACATTAAGAATAATCTTGGGCTGCAGCCATTTTTGGACAGTAAGAACATGAAACCAGGGGATAAATTGTTCGATAAAATCGATCCAGCGATTCGCAATTGTAAAATTGGGATGGCTGTTTTCTCCCCTCAGTATTGTGATTCTTATTTTTGCTTGCATGAGTTGTCTCTAATGATGGAATCAAAGAAGAGGGTTATACCAGTTTTTTGTGATGTTAAACCTTCGGAACTTGCTATTAAAGAGTTGAATGTTAATTTTCCGAATAAGGATTTGGAGAAGTTTAACTTGGCTCTTGAGGAGGCAAAATACACCGTTGGACTCACATTTGATACTTTAAAAGGGTGAGTATCCGTGCCACATTTTATTCTTCCTTTCAAAAAGACACTTATAAATATATACTTAGCTTCCTAGCTCGTTATAATTTTTTCGTTTGCGCATATTTTGGTTATTTCATAAATACCCATGACCTAACATTTTGTTTTTGCCTATGTTAAAATTTGAATCCATGCATGATTTTCTGGTTTTCTGCTCACTTCATTAACTACTATGTTACATTTTAATTGTAATTTCTTTGTACTCTATTGATATGTCACCGCAGATTAAGAGAAAATCATTTGAAAATATGATTTGCTTAATCTTTATTGAGATACATGTGACATCATATTTATTGGGCATGGGAATTAATTCCATGTTTGCAAACTTTGGGAAGAGAGAGAAACAAAAGGAAATTAGAATGAGCCAAAAATAAAGTTATTTTCGTAGGGGTTACTTGTTACTGTTCTTTCTTTTATTTTTCCTAAGCCGAAGATCTTCCGAAAACAGCCTCTCTATTTTCTTGAAGGTATGAGTAAGATTTGCGTATATATTATCCTTCCCAGATCCCACTTGTGAGATTATACTGGGTCTATTATTATTGTTGATGTGACATCATATTTATTCGAGAAAAATAGAATAGAGAACAAATTATCCGGAGCCTTACAACAAGCTGTAATATTTATAAAAAATTACTACATTTTTTCACTTAAAGAAAGTAGACATTCGTAGGCACAACGTAGAATAAGAAAGTAGGATAACTATTTTGGATTGTACATAGAAACTTTCTTAAATTATTACTACTTGTTTGAGCATAACTTTTTTTTTGCTTTTTTTGTTTGAGCGTGACTTTTTCTTTTTTCCTTTTGTTTGAGCATAGTTTTTTTTTTCTTTACTTTATTTTAGCAAGATTTATACAAAATCTGACCTGGGTAATATTGTTTTGTGAAGGGACTGGTCGGAGTTCCTGGTGAAAGCTTCGGATGCAATAATGAAGAACTTGTACGAGGTAGAAAGAGAGAAGCTGATCCACAGAAAGATATATATTCGTCGAAAACAACTTTTACACAACTATTGATCGATGATAAATAAAAGAGGATCTATATATCGATGAGTTCAACTCTAATAAATTCACATTAATTCATTTGTTCCTTAGTTTAATTCTTTTCTTAACCAAAGTCCTTTAGGAAGACTCAAAGGACTTGCTCCTAGCTAACACATTCAATATTCTTTAATCTTTGTCATGTAAGTCATGTTTCAGGCTTTTTATTGCCGAGTAAGTTGGGATTTCCGACAATTATTAATGTAATTGTAAGATTTTTCAGGTTGTTTTTGTCGTCTATGTAATCCATCAAATCAATGTAATACATAGATGATTCAAGATATAAGCTTTCTATTTCACGTACTTTAATTATATCTCTTCTTCCTGTTTTATACAGATAAGAATATATACCAGATTAATTAAAGAAGATGAAGACAAGTTAAATAAAACTCAGTGGGAGGTTCAAGTCCGTGTCTTTTTGGAAATTGGTATTCTACTTCATGCCACGTCGTATGCTGTTCTTCTTAGTACTTTACTTTCCTTTTTTGGAAAATGTTGATCAGTCAACATGGTACGCTGAGTCCCAAATTAGCCACTACCTGTGACTCGGTCCATTTGAAGTTTCTACATATATTCCTTTCTCTGGGAATATATAGTATATCTTTCAGAAAAATACATTTGTCATAAATAATAGTGATAACTAGGGGTGTTCATGGTTCGGTTTGAATCGGTTTTTTCCTAAAAAGAAACCTAACCAAGTAAGTCGGTTTTTTAAATATTAGAACCAAACCAAACCAATTAAGTCGGTTTTTTCTCGATTCGGTTTATGTCGGTTTTTCAATTTTTCGGTTATTTGTCGGTTTTTTCTTAAATATAAGACATACACTACCAAACACACATTTCGGCGACCACATTTTGAACGTAACACTATCAAATCAATTGCCCTTGAGAAATCTATTATTTACCAAGATATATTGATGATAATTGAATCAAATAGTGATGAATAATTTAAGGACTCAATTAAAAATATATTATTTTTAACATGAAATAGATTCTTACACTTAACAAAAGAAAACTACCAATTAAACTAGAATGTAAAGGTAAAGAACTATATTAAAAGTGCAAACGATTAATATTTAGTATAAAATTTTTAAAACTTTGTATAAAAGTATACATATATATAGGTGTAATAATAAATTTAAAATAGTTACTCTTATATTCGGTTTGGTTCGTTTTTTTTAATTAAAACCAAAACTAAACCAAATTTGATGGTTTTTAAATTTCAAAATCAAAACCAAACCAAACCAAAAAGTATCGGTTTTTTGGTCGGTTTGATTTTCGGTTTGGTTCGAATTTTCGGGTTTTTATGAATACTCCTAGTGATGACGGTAAGACTGAAATAAAGTGTCTATAGTCTAGACTTTCTGAAACATTACATTCAGATATCGTGTAGTTAATAAGACTATTCGTAAAAGAATTCATATTTGAATAACTGAAATTAAAAGTTCATTTCACAGTGCAAAAATTGACTGTTTGAATCAAAGACAGAATTCCTTTTATGCATACTGTAATTATTAGTATTATATTTGGATCGAAATAAGGAACCTTTTACTCTGAGCTTTATGATTTTCTTTTGGTTTGATCTTTTCAAGGGAATTAGAAAGATTAGACAAAGAGTTGATTAGTCTAATGAAATATACTACATACTAGTATGTCGTAAAAATAGTACCATGATTTTGACTTCTGTTGTACCATACTACTCTCTTTGGTTGCACTTTGTATAACATTATTTTCTGTTATAAAAAATGATACATTCCTATACTTTTCCTAATTAATGTGAAGCTTTTATAGTCATATAAATACTATGATATGTTTAAGATCACAAGTTTCAAAAAAAATTATATTCGAATAAATATTATGACGTATTTAAGACTATAAATTTTAATATTTTTAAATTTTTTATTAAACTTTTAAGACATGTCAAACTATAACCAAGTGAATCAGAGGAAGTGGTTGTCGAATAAAGTGTCTCTTCAAAGAAGGAACTTCAAAGGAAGAAACAAAAGAAACGAAGAAGCACTTGAGCTTAATTAATTATGGAGTCCATTAATTAAATGGTCATTCAATTATCCGAAATTATCTAGTACTAGAAGGTCACTCAATCAGATTTCTCAAATTTTTAATTGTCAAATACCTGTTTTATCCTCTAAATTATCAACTTTTCTTATTTTTTTAATATTATAATTTTTTCTCTTTTAAATTTGTCACACCTTCATTTTACACCCGCAAGGGGTATGAGAATTTATCCAATTAAAGTGACATTATGCGAAATAGGATTATTTATTTATCAGAATCGCCACTTGGGATAGTTTATTTGGTGTCCCAAGTCACCGGTTTATTTTAAAATCCTAAATCGAGGAAATTCGACTTTTATTTTTAAAGTCTGTAAACCAGAAATTCTAGATAAGGAGTTCTGTTAACCCGGGAGAAGGTGTTAGGCATTCCCGGGTTCTGTGGTTCGAGCACGGTCGCTTAAACTATTAAAGTTGGCCTAATTGTCTGATTTACTATATGTTTTAACCTATTGTGCATTTTTAGTTTTATAACCGCTTTTAATTATTTTTAAACCCTTTTTAGGATTTATGGAATTATTTCTTGAACAAAGTACGATTGTCGTACACTTGCCGTTTTTGGAACACGCCACAAACCACGCTACATGAAATGCACCCGCGATTTGCGACATATTTTATTTTATTAATGTTCAAAGTTGTTGTGGTCGGGTCACATGAAATGCACTCCCGAATTTTAGTAATTAAAAATCACAACTATGTCACGGGAACCGTACCCGTAGCTATGATGAATTATTTAAATAACGCACCCAAAGCAACTACGAAGATTCAATTTTTAATAGCAACATTTGTGAGGGCCATGGATGATTTAATTTATTTATGTCACACCTCAAACATTTTTCTATGAGTGTTAGTTCTTGAATCTAATCTTATGAGGGCCATGGATTATAAATCTTATTTGGCATGACACGCCTCAATTTATTCAAAGGGTTTTATTATTCGAAATTGTTATAATCGGGTTATATGAAATGCACCCCAAATTTTGGAATTAGACATCGTAACTATGTCATGGGAACCATACCCATAGTCATAATGATTTATTAATCGTGCCTAAAGCAACTAGCGCATTTGAATTATTTTTCTAATCTTTGAGATTATTGTGAAGGCTATAAGATTGTGGATGTTTATTTTTGTGTTAAGGGCTTGATAATGTTCCTATTATTTTAAAGTATAATTATTTAAAGACATGAAAAATAAACTAGCTACAAGTAGAACCAACTTAACTTAAAATGATTCATTCTCATTATCGTCCAAAGAAGAAGGAAAACAAATTCTCTACTTACTTTACTGAAACATTTCATCAACAGTTAATCCCAAACCCATTAATACTAAAGAAATCACTAGCAAGACACATATGAACTTAACTTTACCATATCAATTTTCCAATTCCAACTAGAACGGCTCATAAAGTAAAATAATAAAATATTAATGAAACAAAAACATGACCCATTAAGATCTAGCTATTTTTAACGTAGAAGACTTACTACCTTTTAATAACTATACAAATTAGCATTCTTATAGAACAACATATAAAAGAAAAGATAATGAAATAGCCAATATCCGTAAAGAGGAAGAACGCACAAGTTAATTTCCTCAAGCTTAATATTAAACATAATGCAAATCACAAGCAACTTTCAAACAAACAGAACCTATAAAAATGAGATTCAAGCATTACATCATCCAATCAAATGAGTTACATGAATGAAATCAAAGTCATACCTCAACAGCCAAGTAAATATCTCAAAATAACCAGATAAAGGCTGAACAGGTGAATCAATGGGACATGGACAACATAGCAGTAGCGAACAACAATTCCATCGCTTTACAAGTAAAGAAGAAAACAGAAGTTAGTTCAGCAACTTGAAAGCATCAAACTTCAACAACACCCAGCAACTCTATGGCTCAACAAAGAGCAAACAAAACTCTCACAATCCTCGGCAATGTAGAGTCACGAATAGAGTTTTGAAATAGCTTTTAATTCTTCTTCTATTTTTTTGATTTTTGTGCTTTTGCCTTCTTTCTTTTTTTTCCGCTAGCTTTAGCTTTTGAATTCCCAAATCTGGAATTTTTGAATTTCGAAAATCATGGTCTTTTTGTGGAAATAGCGTGAGTGAGGGGTGAGGAGGAAGAAGGCTAGAGTTTCTTCAAAGGGAGGGGTTCTGTGGTGTTTTTTTTTTTTGAGAAACGAAAAATGAAGAAGCCATGGTTACTTTTGTTGTTCTTTTTGCAGAATGGGGTTATGGGGAGCTCCTTAGAGCTGATGGAAACGACAGATTCTTTTTGCTATTAGGTGTAGGGTCTTAGGTTAGCTACTAGGTTAAGAATGTGGAGGGAGTGGGTTATTGGTCCAGGCTGGTTAGGCGAAATTTGGGTAATTTTGGGCTGGTGGGTCAATTAGAGAAATTTGGGTATTATATTTGGGCTTGAGTGATTATTTGGACTGGTTTTGGCTTTAAAACGGCCCAATTGCTTAATATAAAACCCCATTGCAATTAAATCCTTATTCCCTTTCTTTTCTTTTTCTTTAATTAAAAATCCTAGAAATTAAAATTCTAAATTATCTAAAAATGTGAAATTAAACTAATTAACTAATTATAAAAATTATAAAAGCTACTTGATCCTAAATTAAAAGAGAAAAAATCAATGAAAGGAAAAAGTGTAAAAATGAAGCATTTTTTTTTTGTGATTTCAATTTTTATAAAATAAATAACTACCGATTAATCCTAAAAATGTAAAAATAAAGCCTAAATGACATGCGTGATATTTTTGGTATTTTTTATTATTTAAATAAAATTTAAACATGCACAAAATGCAAACAATTAAATAAAATTCTACAAAAATTCCTAAAAATAGCAAATAATTAAGAAAAATTTATTTTCTTGGGATTTTATAGGAGCATTTCATATAGAGAAAAAATCACATGCTCAGAAAATCTA